CCAGTCCAGGTTTAGCTGTTATTCAGCATCTTAGCTGTAGAGGGCAGTGTCACTGGCTCTCATATGTGGGATCCGAACCGGGGCCCTCTGGCGTCCCAAGCCAGCTCTTAACCAACGTGCCACTCGGCCAGCCCCAAGTGGTGTTCAAGTTAGCAAAGACACTGATCCCCAATAGTGGGGAAAGACTGAGGGTGGAGGACTATGCCCTCCACTTAAAATACTGTCAGGAGCCATAAAAGCCAACCATGGGTAGCAAGTCTTGTGTATTATATATTCATATGGACAAGCGGTTCTCAACCTGTGGGCGACTGATCTGCTTCGCCTGGGAAAAGCGAAATGATGGTGCCAACTTGGGCCAGTGAAGCAACCCTTTGGGGGTTGAACAACCCTTTCACAGGGGTCACCTAAGACCATCGGAAAACAAAAAGATATTTACATTACGATTCATAACTAGCAAAATTACAGTTATAGAGTAGCAACGAAAATAATTTTATGGTTGGGGGTCACACAACATGAGGAACTGTATTAAGGGGTTGCAGCAATAGGAAAGTTGAGAACCGCTGATATAGACTATCTTCCTGTTTAACCTCTCTACCCATTATTTCTTTCTCGGTTTTTCTCCTGCTAATCCCTACTCTTCCTTATGGTCTGTTTGGACACTGTCCTCTGGATCACTTGCTCTCTTCTGACTCAAGACCAAGAGCTTTGTGTCAGCCCTTTCTTTTCCTAGTCCAGTCATGTTTGGCCTGTAGACATAGAAAACAAAGCTGGATAAAGAATGTGCTGAGTAACTCCACAAGACTCTAGATGAGCCCATTCTGATAACGCTGATACAGAATCCCCAGCCAGATAGGACACTGGCGTGGAGCACAAAGCGAAGAATGTGCTAATGCTCCTAGTGGAGAGTAGAACACACTAGGTCCTTTAGTCATCATATGAATAAAGCAGATCTAGTGTTTGTTGATGTCATTCTTACTTACAACTCTTTCTAAAAGAATAACTAAGAGCACCCACATGTGTGAAGCACCAGGCCTTCAAATCCAGTGTTTTCAAAAATTGATGAGTGAGGGGCTGGAACCCAATAATTTGCCAATCTACAACATGCAGATTATACACTGGAAGTGGGCAGCAGGCTCGGATTTTCATGCTGTGGAAGCTATCCTAGGAAATCTGGAGCAAGCTATTCTGTTTGGGAAAATAAACAGCTATGAATTTAGTAGTTTCTCCCCAAAACTGAACTAAGAAATCACCAAAAATGAGACTGGGAGACTCTAGGTGAATTAATAAACTTCACTGAGCCTTAAATTCCCCATCTAGCAAATAAAATAATTAGACTAGATAATCTCTAAAGATCCCCATTGCTCCAAACTTATGATTCCATGAAATACTTAAAACAACTTATGAAAAATTTCAGAAAGGCACAAAAAGTAGTGAACGTAACGAACCCTCAAGCACTCTACTTCAACATATGCCCAATTTTGTTTTATCAAAACCCTTACTTACTCACCCTTCAATCCCCACTGCATTATTTTGAAACAAATCCTAGACATCATATGAAATAGATTTTAAAGAATTCTCTTGGAACAAAGATAGTTTATAAATAACAGATCAGGTAAAGTCAGGCTTTCTACTTTTCCTAGATACCTTCTCTCACGGCAATTGTAAACACTATCATTAAACTCAGCATTAAAGGATGCTAAGTATCATATGCTAAACCCACTTATATTCATTCAAGGAAGAGCTCCCATTAAAGAGCACTTGCTGTCTTTATTGTAGTGCTATATAACTTATCTATTGCTGTGTAACAAATGACTCCCAAATTTTGCAGCTTTCAACAAGAAACATTATCTCATAGTTTCCATGAATAAAGAATCCAGGAGCAGCTTAGCTGGGTGATTCTGGCTCAGTCTGTCAGGAGACTGCAGCTGAGGTGTTGGCAATGGTTGTAATCATCTTAAGGCTCAACTTGACCAGGATCCAATTCTGAACTCACTCATACGGTTGTTGGATGACATGGTAGCTGGCTTCCCTCAAGAGTGAACAATCCAAGAGGACAAGAGAGATAATCCAAGACTGAAGCCAGTCTTTTTTATAACCTCATCTTGTTAGAGAAATTTCATCACTTCTGATATATTCTGTGTTAGAAGCCAGTTAATAAGGTCCCCCCACAGCATGGAAGGGCACAAACCAGGAGGCAGGGATCATTGTAAACTACAATAAGAGGCTGCCCATCACATGCTAAGTACTGATTACTGAACTAGTCTGTATCATAGTTATAGCTTATAAATAAATAAATGATCTCGATTCTTATATCATTCCACCCAGTTTAAAGATGAGGAGAATTAAGTAACTTGCCTAAGGGCAGAGTAGAAGAAAGTGAGGGAAACATAGACTGATTTATTTCAGTCATTTATCTTTTTTTTTTTTTTTTTTTAAGCTGAGCCATCCTGCCACCGGTTGGCAGCTCAGCGGCTGCTCAGCTTGGGCCGGGAATCGAACCGCTGTTGCTCAGAGCTCAAACTCTTGAGCGAGCTCTTAACCAACTGAGCCACTCAGCCAGCCCTCAAATATTTTTTGGGGGCCTACTATATATTGGTTATTCTGCTAGGTATTGGGGATCTAGAAGAGAACATGATGTGATGTGAATACACATATGTGACATATGTGAACCCTGTTCTTACAGGGCTTACAATCTAGTATGGAATTCAGACATTAAGTAATTACAAAAATAATTACAATTAGCTTAAACTGCTAGATTTGTAATACTTCTGTTAAACAGAGTTGAACAAAACAGATAAAAAGTAGTATAGAAGTATAAAGGTCTTTGAATATTGCTGTGAAAATCAACATTTAGAATTCTCATCTACGTAAGATGAGAATAACGTGGTATGCTGCAGCACTGAAGATGACTGTCAAAAATATCTTATTTTAAGAAAATGTTCAACATTTCCATTCAACTCTTTTTCATTGCCAATCCACAGAAATTGCAGTGACCATGTTTATTTCGATATCTGTATCTCCCTCTTCAATGGGCTGATTCTTCTATGCATTTTTGTATTTATATAGGCTCAACTGAAACTGATAGTATAGCAGTGATTATGACAATTATGTTGTTACTGGGCTCTCCAGCTCCCCTCCCACTTTTTAGACAGTCAAATATTTATATGTTAAAAATTAAAATGAACTTATTTCAGCCGTGAGCACATCAGAGTGCAGGAAGAAGGCTGCTGACTTTTTCAGACCTAAGCTGCCTTAGATAAAAAATTGGGCCCAAGGCTGGCCAAGTGGCTCAGTTTGTTAAGAGCTGGCTCAAGAGTGTGAGCTCTGTCTGAGCAACAGCACTTCCAGTCCCGGCCTGAGCTGAGCTGCTGCTGAGCTGCCAACACGTGGCAGGATGGCTCAGCTAAAAAAAACAACAACAAAAAACTAGGCCAACACATACAAGTCCATTGTATGAAAATTTGGGTAGAGTATGTCAATAGAAATGTTAAATCTATAGGGCAATTAAAATAGTGAAAATAATTTAAAAAAATTTAAATCCTACATTGCAAATTGAGAAAATCTGTCAATTTCACTTTCATTTCTGTGGGTGCAAAAAAACGGGAAAGGAGAAAAAAACCCCTCTCAATCTATGATAATGAAAAGTACCCATTAAGAAATACTGTCTATATGAAATGTTTTTAGACTACTAATTTGCCCTTGGGAAAGGAAGGACAAGAAGAAGTCCAGAACCTCAATTTGTAATTATGTATTGAATTTCTGTCTAGACTGTCAGTGTCAGATTGGTTTCTAATGGGCTCAAATTGACTCCAAAGTGTTACTAAATAAATCTTATTTCTATTGCTGTGCATTTCTACTGAATCGATTCTGATCATTGATGTGGTTAGGAAAAGTTGCTGCTGCTGACTGCAAAATTCAACTTACCCATATATGCAATAAACTTCAAAAATAAACTGACAACAGGGCCCTCACGAACGAGATCTAATCTCATACTTTTTGGCAAAAATACAGATTGAATGAGACAGTAATTCAGGAAAATAGTCATTATATATGTGAGTACTAATTAGATATGTACAAATCTTACCAGTTCTAATTTTGACCTGCTATGGAATCCGTGAAGTCACTCGCCAGTTTTATTTTTGCCAGAAGATAAAAGTTCTCCAAATTTGTTGAAAACCATTTGCTTCTTGCCTTACAACTAGTTCTTTGTCACTATAACTTCAAACCGTTGTGAAAATATCTCGCAAAACCTGCATTAAGGCGAAGCGACCATGCATGCGTCTGGGTAGATAAGGAGGCTACACTTAGGAGACAGGAGAGCACTGATTATTTAAGCAAGCGATTTCCACATTCGGAGTTCCCGTTCTGAAATCTCAGCCGAGGTAGCGACGCGAAGCGCGGCCAAGGACTTTCATGGGGCGCAGCAGCCGGGAAGGGACTTCGCGAAGGGCCAGTCGGCTGGTCTCTCTTAGGCCGCGGAGGCCCACGGTCATGAGTGGGAATGCCAACTCCCATCCTGGGAAGGAAACTTCTCGTCCAGAGACCTGCATCCCTGTCGGCACTGCATCTCCTCAGTGACCGAGCGAGTGGGACTCACTCTGCCCGACTTTAAAACTCCGAGGAGCAGCCGCCACCTGCCTGAGGCCAAGTTAATGAACCTACAGCACACAGTGAGTCTGGGCCCGGCAGGAAGGGGTGCAGAGCAGCGCCCGGGGCCCTTTCTCCCCAGCTGTCCCTGCTCTGGACCTCCCGCTCGGACGAGAAGGAGGGAAGAGCTCGCAGGGTGGCTGAGTTGGTACCTCGCGCCACCGGGGTCGGGGCGGATGGGGACGCTGGTGTAGTGGCCGCGCCGCCTCGACCCTCCCCGGGGGCGGGGCTCGAGCGTTGCCCCGCCCCACGTCCTCCCTTTCCCCGCCCCTCCCCCACGCCCTGTTCCACCCGCCCCCGCAGTAGGAAAAGGAGAGGGAGGAGGGTAGCAAAGTGCTGTTCTGTGGAAAGGGGCGGAAGGAGGGAGGGGGGGAAAAAAAAAGGAAAAGGGAACAGAAACATGGCCGTCAGCTGTCGGGGTGGCCGTGCCGCGGGCAGCTCCTAGGCGACCCGCTGCCCTCACGGCCGACCTCCGGTTAGTTGAGGCACTCGCGCGAGGCAGCGCTCCCGGACGTTACCCCTCGCTTCATGCGGCGCCCCTCGAGACCCAGCCCGTGAGGCGGCGCAGGCGCAGAGCGGGTCGTGGTGGCTGCGGCGGCCGCCGCGGGTGCAAGTCCCCCGCCCGGCCCTGTCGAGGGCGCCCAGGCCGCGAAGCCGGCGCTTTCATGCTCCGGAAAGGGACTGTGCTCGGGTGGCGCTGAAGCGGGCGGCAGGTGAGTCTGCAGCGGAGGGCCTTTCGCGGAGGAACCCTGCGCCGCGCTTCCGCCGGGCCCGCGCTCCCAGGCTGGGAGGGCGCTAGGCAGGTAGCAAATCGAAGGTGCAGAGGTCGGATGGCCGGCCTGCGGGGGGTCGCCGAGGAGGCGGAGAGTGGCCTGGCTGGCATTCCCGGCCTAGTTTCCCCGCGGTTTCCGGGGGCGGGGAGTCTCTGGAGCCTGCGGGGTGTGATGGGGGTGAGGCTGTGCCAGGAGGGGCCTCCCGGTGCCGCCGCTCGGGCTCCTGCGAACCACTTGCGTGGAAGCTCGAGGAGTCTGAGCCCTGGGGACCGCCGGGCGACGGCCGCCTGGGTGGGGGCAGGGTAGGGAGGGGGCGGCGATCGGGAGTTCCCGGGGAGGGTGGGTTGGGGCGGACTGGCGGGGAGCTAGGGGTCCTCCAGAAGGGTTGCGCGCAGGACAGAGTGGGGAAGAACTGGGGATCCGTGCAGGTGTCGCAGGTGAAGTGAGAACATTTTCTCCTCTGCCTTACAGTGGCCGATCCTCAGGGCTTCGTCATTGGGGATGACTTTTAGGAAGGCAGGTTCCATTCAACTCTGAGTGACCAAAACAAAACTAATGAGCCCCTAGTGCTGACTCCTGTAAAGAGCTGTAACTTTTCTGCATTGAGAATGCTGTCATATTTTGTTCCTCCTTTTTTCTGCTTCACAGACTTTCCCCTCCCAAAGACCGTACCTCATCATGACAAACAAGGAATGACCCAGTTTTTAAATAGTAACCCCCTTTCCCCCATTTGTTTGTTTCACACGGAAAAATTTTCGGTAGTTACCGCAGTTACTTGTGCAAGGGTGAATTGAAAGTGTCATCTCCAGTAATGAACCCTCAACTCTGTGTGTTTTTGCCTCAGAGCGATTGTCAAGCATTGTAGTCTGGGAAATTAACTGCTTAATTGAAATTGCCAGCTTAATTGTATGCCAACCCGTGTTAAGGCGTTCTTCCTTGGCCCCAATTTACAATAGGAGTAGGTCTTCCTTTTCCGTCTCCCGGTTTAGAAGGTGAAGGGTATAGTAAGATAGAGGAGAATATTAGTGCTAAGGAGTTAAGTTTTCGAATATTTGATTTGAGGTGATCATGTGTATGAAGCAGCTATCTGAAATGCACAGCATTGTATGATTTTCTGTGTAACGTGATAAGAGCAAAATTAGTTGCAAAAGGAAAACATCTGTGAGTATTAAAGGATACCTTTTCTTGATCAACATAACCATAAAAAAACCCCCACTTATATTTTATTTTCTGCCCTGTTCTTTGTATGACTTAAAAAGTTGGTAAACTGCTTTCTTGGTGTGAGACTAGGAAATCAGGAATGAACTTAAATTTGTATTCACGAGGAAGCCTCTCACGCAGGCGTGCATGACTCATTTTTTTTAGTAATCGCAAACTCAATTCACACTTTCCCCATATTGGTATCTCCTGTGGCCATTTTGCAAAATAGTTGATTGGGATTAGGGATCTGATCTTTCTTATTACTGATTTTAGTGAACTGATAATATGTCATTTGACTTTGGCCATAGTACCTCACTTAGTGTATTACTGTTTGGATTTGTTAGTTTGGATAATAGAAAATCTATGATGTTAGAAATGTTGAAGTTGTATATTGGAGTATTTTACTCTTGAATAATTTGTAAATTAGTGCATTCTGTTGTTGAGAGTAAATAATAGTATTTTGTAGTATAAACTTGAGCTGTAGTATAAACTTCAAGCTGAAGAAATTGGCAGTAGAATCTACTTCTTGTGGAGACTTTTTAAAATGCAAATCTTTTAAATTACAAGGACATGCAGTGGTGTGTAGGCTGTAACAATTCATGGTTCCAGACTTGGAAGGTTATTTGGTTGAGGTGCTCTCTATACAGAAACATGTTAAGTATCTGCAGTAAAAGCAAATTTGTAGCAATACACAGGGATTTGGCATGATACATAATAACCGAACAAGGCACCTTTGCTCTTTATATGATCTGCCAGTTAAGACCAAAACATTTTGTATTTTCTTTGGAGTTTCTTGTCTAGACAAATATTGATTTTTCATTGGCTTTGCTGCTCAGTTTGAAAATTAGGTTTCAGTCTTATCCTTGCAACTTAGGTGCAGGTTGTATAGTAAAAAAGAAAGCTGCTGAGTCAGAGGCAGGTTGTTTCATTTGGTGTTTCTCATTAGCAAAACGGAATTCCTGTTCTGATTTAAATTTCCAGTGTAATAAATATGCTCACTGAAGTTTAGATAGTAAGGACAAATAAGCTTTCATAATACATGGATAGAAATTTTATCTTCTCTATGCTGGTGCCATAATTTGTACCTCTTTCAGATTGTCAGTTTGACAGACTTGGAGTAGTGGGATGCCTTTTTGGAATTGGAGATACCTTTATAAGCGTTAAAACTTGGGGAAAGAGTTGTAAATAGTACAGCTGGTGTTTTTAAAACAGTAGGTCTTGGGCATTATTATTTGAAATTTAAAACTTTTTGTGGAAAGAAGTTAGGTACTTTATAAAATTAAATTTTTTTTCTACTTAATGTCTACATTGTATTTATCAAAGTAAGTGTAATAGAGTTATTGTGGTATTTGGAAACCTTATTGGAAAAGATAACATGATTAAAGGAAATTCAAAAGGAAAAAAATTTAATTCTCATCTTACGTTTACATTTTTTCAGTACTTTAATTTTGTTATACTTGCATAATATATTAATTGGTATAAAATACTAATCCTTTCTATATACTTGTTTATAATTTTGTGGTTAAACTTCACATAATTATCTTTCTAAACATACGTGTTTTCCCTAGTGCTGCATGTTACTATTATTTTGTGGTTGTGTAGTAGTTTTACTCCAAAGTTTTACTGCTACAGTTTATTTAACCATTTTCCTATTTTGACATGTTAGTAATTCCACTTTTTTACTCTCAAAATCATGCTATAATGAAATCACTTTGCTAATATGATAGTCCAAACCAAATTACTTTTTAGATTTTTGAAAAAGTAAACATTATTTGAACTCCTTCCTTTGCAGTGGATCATTAAGGCTCCTATAAATATAGTATTTAATTGAGAACTGAATTAGAGCAGAGTGAAAAACTGTAGATGTGCATATGTGACTTGAATTCATTGAGTAGGAATCAAACTATAAATTCATAATTCTTCCTGTTACTGACTTGCTACAAGTTTCAGTTTATTAATTTTACTTGTACAATATAAAAGTAATATTCTTAAAAAATTTTTTAATTCTTATAGTAATATTGTGAGGCATAGTGTTTCTAAGCACACCTTATTTCAACCAAACCTTATATATACAAATCTAGATTTATAATCATTTGACCTACAGAAAAGTCATAAGATTTTAAAATCTCTGAAATATTTTAAAGGATTCTTTGAATCTGGTTTTTTTTTTTTTACTGTGTATGTGCAATTCATTTATAGCTTAATTAAAGATGCTTAACTACTAAAAGCATAAATGTTATGAGTACCTTTTTAATTATGGCTTAAGAAAAGCATCCCTTAAGTAAGTACTATGCTATCAGCTAGGGATAAAAAGATAACTAACAAACTGTCTGAATATTGAAATCTAGTAGGACAAACAGTCTTATAAAAAAGCATCATAATTACAACATGACAAATTCAAACTAGACCAAACGATGCTATAAGAGCAGAGGGAAATAACCTAACTGTGTTTTGTGTGGTTAGAGATGGTTTACATAGGAGACATTTGATTTAAAACTCAAAGAATGATGTGAAAAGGCACAAAGTAATGAAAGAATGTAGTAGGTTTTATTACAATGCAAGTAATTTAGTATTTGGACGCAGGTAGTTTTGAAGGGAAGTGGGGGCGGGGGGGTTAGTAAGCTGGAGGACTAAGTGGGGCTAGCTATGTCATGAAAGGTCTGAAGAGTCAAATAAGAAATTAAGACCATACATTGAGAGGAACAGGGAGCCTTTTAATGATTTTAACCTGTTAAATATTTTGACTTTATTGTGAAGGATGGATTGGGAGAGCTGCTTGAGGGGGGCTGCAGGTTCATCAACTAGAAAAGTTTGAAGGCATCTAGGTGAGAATTGAGCACAGCAGTAGTAGGGATGGGAAAAAAAAATGGACAGAATTGAGAAATATTATATAATACAAACATTTTCTTGTCTCTTTAGCTTTAGCTTCTGCTTGCCCATTGTGCACCTGTGACACCAGCCGACTTTCAGGTTCTTTCACTTAGAGCCTTACATATACCATTCATTTACATGTTGCCTTTTCTGAGAGGTCTTTTCCTGATCACGCTGTCTGGTTAGGGAGATCAGTTACTACCATGGCATCTTTTTATTTTATTCTGTAGAACTTCCTCCTTCCTTCCGTCCCCCCTCCTCTTCTTCCCTCCCTTTCCTTACTAGTTTGGAAGTTATATGCAACCTGACTCTTTATTTTTTCTAAATGTGGGTCTATTTCTGGTCTCTTTTTTTTCTGTTCCATTAGTCTGTGTCTATCCTTATACCAGTGTTACTTTGTCTTAATTATATTTCTTTATAGCAAATCTTGGAATTAGAAAGTGTTTGTCTTCCAACATCTTTATTTTTTTCAAAATTGTTTTGGTTATTTTACATCTGTAGCATTTTCAATAAATTGTAGACTAAGCTTGTCAATTTCTACAAAAAGCATATTGGGAGAATTGATGTCTCACTAATACTCAGTCTTCTGATACTTTATCGTAACATATCTCTCTGTTTATTTGGGTCTTTTTAGTTTTTTCTGCGGCTTTTTATTTTATAGGTCTTGTACATATTTTGTGTAATTTATCCCTATTTCATGTGTTTTGATACTGTCTTTTGTTGATGATACTATGTTTAAGTTTTCTTTTTCCAATTGTTAAAAATACAGTTGGTTCTTTTGCATATTGACTTTGTATTCTTTTGTCTTATTAAATTCAATTTTTACTTCTAGCTCTTATGTAGATTCTCTAGGATTTTCTTCATACACA